AGGAATTGCGGTTACGCAACATGCGTGAAAATTCAACAGGTAATATCCTCACTGTGGAAGAATCTTTATTGTAGCAGTTGCATACAAAGATGTGTGGCCCAATTGTAACAGGCATATTTTGTTTTAAATAGGAGTTATTTAATTTCTCGTATCATAAAATTACAGTCTGTTCGTCATCGCGATAGCTCTCCAGTTGTAATTAAATATGTCGATAAATGCAGTAGTAAAATCAACAATGGCTCAGACAACAATAGTGCAGCGATAGTTACAAAAAGACAGAGGTTAAAATTTTACAGTTTGCGTCACAGATCGGCTATACAGTACATGACGCACGAATTTTATTCAACGATGATGCTAATATCGGAAATTGTTCGTGAAACGGAGTTTATTCATCAAACAAGACAGATAACGGCAACACCCGCGAAATTGCATACTCACATGATCAATAACATCGACGCCTTTTGGTAAAATGTGGTTCTTCGAAATGATGATAAAATTTAGAGCGCGAAAAATATAATTCTCTACTCAACCGTCTGCAAAATTTCGTGAAGAACTAAAACTGTACAATACAATATAAATAAAATCTCACACTGTTCTTATTTTAGGTAACTGATATCATTGTCGCTATGTGCAATAATTCGATTTTCAATTTTACGTTGCAGACTAAATTAATTTTTTAATAAAACTTTATAATATCGCTTTTTACGACTTATGAAGGACAATTGAGGACGTTAAAGTTACCGTGTTTGGGCACTGTTTTCTTAACATTTTCTGAAAACTGCAAGTTATATTAGTTGAAGGAAAAGTTGTGAAAATTCATTATTTATATACTTGCACCACAATGACAACTAGGTCATTCTTCACCATTGTAATTTGCATCTTACGTAACCTAATGGATTCTGCTTTTTTAGTATAACTAACATTTATAACTATAAAACTCGGTCATCGCAACTTCATTCTGTACACCGTTCGGTGCAGCGTTCGATTATCGCTTTGTCGCTAGCATCAAATCCACCATTTTACGCAAACAAAACTGCGCGAATTTTTCTCTCGACGCACCGAAAGCTGCAAGCTCGATCAACAGGATTGCTAACGCGCCAAAAGCTCGTTTTTGCCAACCGCGCCACGGCGAAGATCCCCTTCTCTCGCGATCAAACGCACACGCAAAAGCTCGGCTCGCTGCCACCGCGGAGACTGCAAGCTCGCATCTCAGGGATTGCCGTGCTTGCCGGCCGTTTTCCCCGGCGAGCTTACGGCGGAGCTTTCGAAATCGAGCCGTGAGTTTGCGGCCTCGGTCCGACCAGAGCCGATCGACCGGCCATGGCGCGAACGCCAGTCGCCGGGTCGTTGTCCTGTGACGCCACAGAGAGCTTTGTGGCCCGTACCGAGCTTGCAGCCATCGCCGCTGCTGATGGCGTAGAGTGGGAGGAGAGGAGGACAGATGGGAGCGGTGGGTGTCATGACGTCACACGTGGTAGACGCCACCGGTGGTCCAAATACACGTGGAAGGGGTGAGTTCGTGTGCCGTTCCGTGATGTCATTGACTAAACGATGTCGTGCATGTGTGAGAGAGAAAGAGAGAGAGAAAGAGAAGAACGGTTACACGAAAAGGGGTAGGAGAGGGCAGGTGCTTTAGAAACGAGAGAAGGGGTTGGAATACGAGCACGGGGCTATTCTTGGACGTCTCAAAACACTGTCCTCGCGACCGCGTTGCGTAACTACGTGGGAGAGCTTTTCTGAAGGAGGCGTTCGCGAAATGGCCATCGCAGAAGAGGAGAGAAAGAGAACGGAAAGAAATCGACGGGTAGATTTCATGTAATTAAAACGCTTAATTAAACCGTAAGAATGTAATATCGAGCTTTCGATGTGCGTGAAAATCGATTCCAATTATATTTAAATGTGTTTAAATCTGTCTTTCTGTTTTTGTATATATAGTTCGAACAAATGGGACAACGTGTAACAAAATCTTCAGTTAATTTGTAGTTAATTCTTTCTTAAGAAAAATTTCGAGATACTGAGATAGTTTCGTATTATAAGTGATACACGAGAATGATTTTAAAAAACGTAATACATTAAACTGATAGTATTCATTGTATAAGCCAATTCTATAATCGATACTTGTCTATCAGTAAGTTCTCTCGCTAAAGTAAAATCGATTTGTCGGGAGTGTCTCTTCATTCCCGACAAGTTCGCTCCATTAAACGCGAAAGGGTTAGCGTTAATGAACGAGCGTTATCATATCTGTGACAGGATAATTGATACACGGTCACTCTTATCTATCTGCAATTTTCACAGCCCGAGTCCATTAATCGTCCTTTCAATTTAGATTATAATTTTTTCCCCTGAGAGCTTGTAACGTTATTCACGTAAAAGCAAGTCGGCCGACAACTACCAATTATATTTTCGTCACAGATTTGTTACAATGACAATTTATCTGTTGGCGTACTATGTCATTATTTTACATTTCGTTTTTTATTATTGTTGGAAAAAATAGAGTGATGTCACGATATTATGGCAATGCCTTCATGAATTTATAATTCTTATTTAGAATAATAAAGTTTTATGTCAAGCGTCCAGCGTATGAAACTTGTTAATATTTTAATTTATTATATTTCTTTAAATTACTTTTCTTTTAAAATTACCACCGATTTATTCTTCAAAGCCTTGTATTTCGTCATTGTCAACGCTATATTTCGACTGTTGAAAGTTTCGCGTAATTAGTAAATTGCAGCTGTATCAAATGCACGTGGCAATCGTAGTTCGAAACTTGGCAGTCCATTGATTAATTTTCCATGCTTGTAACTGTACCAACATAGGTAGAGCCTCGTGCAAGGCCGCGCGTTAGAAAGCTCCCGTTGCGTTAATTCTCACGAAGACACGCGTTTTCTATGTTTCATAAATCGATTCTCTCGGCGAGCCAATGCGAAACGGTGCAACAATTGCAATAGCAATTCAACAATAAATCCACTATGCAGTTGACTTTATTTAATCGTAAAAGAGTCTTGAGAAGAAAAAAATAATGGAAAGACGATCAGCATTCGTGTTATTTATAACGTAATATAGAAAGCAATGTAAGTAACAAAAAACATTGAATAATGTTAATCGAAATGGTTCAATGACATCGAATTATCCGTGGAAAATTGTCTATATGGATGATGTATGAGTCTTCAGTTCACCTTTGTAGTGGCTCTTAAGAGACTATCGAGTGTGCTTTCCTTCGGCCGTCAACATTACGTGATGCGCGGCGTTCCGAAAAGAGCGTGAGTTTGTTATTTCAACAAAGGGTAGAATCACTGTGGCGCACTATCCATGAATCTGCTATGCTAACATTCGCGGTGTTTTACCACGAAAAGTAGCCGCAGGTTTTCTTAGTAGTAGCTCCTCGCGCTTTTCGCTCCATTGATTCGCTTTTGCGTAGCAAGGTTTAATTAAGTTCCTTAATTGACGCGTTTCGCAATGGAGCAGAGCGCCCGTCTATCTTATGCATGAGAGAAGCGGGGAAAAGTAGATGAGCTTTTTTTTGTTCTGTTACACAGTTACAGCATCAGCACGATTCTGAGGAGCACGAAAGGAGATGAAAACAGAATGAGAATGTATTTGTGCAAGTTGTGCTGCCGTAGCAGCTATTAACTTGATTAACAGCAGCGATTACGTGCTTCGTTAGCTAATTGTTGACAATTACATATATACGTAATTATATTATCTATGTATAATTATAATTGTTATCTTTACTAATCGTCGCATATCCGTTTATATTTTTTACGATGAAAAGCTGTCGGTATTGTTTGTAAGTTGGGTTTATAGACTAAAGTATAGATTTATTTTTTTTATAAAAGAAAGCGTTATTCAAACCCGGGGAGAGTTAAACTAACTATTAAACCTACATGAAGCCACCCAGGTGGGAGGTTCTGCACTATGACTATGATAAATTATACAGTGGTGACTATTGATTTCACCGCGGCTAAGGTCAGACACTACGGCAAAATCGAGTTCGAGAAGTAACCACTGGTCAGCGAACAAATTCAATCTTCTTGCTCCAAATAGAGACTCTTGTTACATTGATCTTGCATCTCAAAAAACTTGGTCGCTAATTTACTGCGAAGGAACAAATCACACGAATACTTCGATTTGATGTAACTGAACAATTAATATAAAATTAAGAACTGCATTTTGGGAGACTCGCATAAAGACTTATATCAATCTAGAAATAAAGAAATATATTGTTTTATCAAACTTGCGATTTGCGCTTAATTCAATTTTATCTTTATCTCTGTATAAATCTCTAATATCTATTTTAGAAGAAGGATTCAGGACGGAAGATGGCGGGATGAAAGATGCGTACTAGGTTTGCGACTTTCTTGCTATAGCGACCGATAAATCTTTAGGTGCGACAACGCGTTATATTGATTTATTTCCGCCAGCAATAACCGTAAAGTTAGCGCGACACTTCGTGCAGATGTTTATCTCGGCTGTTACGACGGAAATGGCAAGATGTTCTCGCGATGTTATTCGGTAGACGGAAAAAATGTTTCCTGCGTTGTTAAAAGTTTTCTTAAAACGACAACAAATTGAGAATATTCATAGTTTCGTTTCACAGAAACGATTTATTTTTTCTGTAGAACTAAGTTTTAGTTTAGAATGACGCTCACTTCTCGTCCGTCTTTTTCTACATACGTGTAGACACGTACAAGGACAATATCATTTTGACCTCGTATCGTACGTATGACACGTGTCTAAATTGTAGGCAATTTTATGTTACATAATAGATTATATTGCTTATTTTATTTTTTTTTTACATAATACACGTAAAACTTTACGCATATATTGACTTTACTCTGTTTTAGTTGCGTTACGCTTTTGCTTTGAACCACGCTGTTGTTGCTTTACATAATATTTAAGATTTCATATTACTGTAGCTATGAGATGTCCGTCGTTATTTGGCGCGTAACGATGAATTGTTATCGGACAAAAAATCTATTAGCGAGCAAGATAATACTCACCGTCCTTCCTGTAGTAAAGGATCTCGAAGTGCTTTTCGACGCCAGCGGCAAGGGCATCTCGCAGGGCCGCAACCGCGTGCGGTGATGTCATTGGTCCATGGAGGAAGTCGCAGACCGCCGGTCGCTGCATCACTTCGGCCCTTGAGAAGCCCGTCAGCCGACAGAAACCGTCCGAGCAATAGATAATGTGGCATAGTCCCTGCTGCGCGTTCGCCACTAAAAAGCTTCGATCTGCAACAGATGTCAGAGATACCGTTAAACAAACGGTCCTTCTGCAAAGTACGCTTCATCATTCTCGACAGACAATGATGGACTCGAAGTGGACTCTTTTGATTTGACTTGTGAGTGAAATTAGATATGAAGTATTTCATTCCTAATAATAGTGATGGTCACGTAGCTTCGTTAAATCTACCGAGACTTCAATAGCTCATTAAAATACGTAGTGTATTCTCGGGGTATCTAAATTTAACACATTCGCCGTAAGTCTATACAAGATGGACGCTTCTCTCGTTAACAATAATCCGGGAGCGCCCTGGCATTTATATTTATCGCTCGCGTTCGGTGCACATTAACGCAAATGACTATTCTGCCTATACATATATAGCTGCTACAGTTATATGCAACCAACTATTATGAGAAACGTATTTCGCTACTTCGCATCTTTCTGATAAATAACTTCTCTTATTTGGAGTCCGTTCTATTGAACGTGAATAATAAATCTATCGTACGAAAAATTTACGCGTTATTTCTCGCTGCTCGCATCATAACACAATATAAATTCAGCGATAGAATCTAGACACTTGTCGAAGATTCACGATCGACGGAGATCGATTGTCATGGCAACGGACGGTGCGGATGGCGAAATCGCCGGATCCGCTCAAAGAGCGTCCGCGCGATGACCTTCGTCCTAAATCCGGCGACAGTCTTAAAGTGCACACCATAAAATATTCTCGTGCCGCAGCCATTAAGGCCGTCTACCGCGCAACTGTGGGCCGTAAGGCGTCGGCTTTTCGAGACGGCGCGGGTCGCCTACTCTGCTACGTGTTTCGTCGAAAAAGACGCAAACCGTTGACGTTGACCTGATGTTCAACACCAGTCGAGGGTGGTTAAAGATCGTCGCATCTTTCAACCCTTCCTCGGAGGGTGGAACGATCGATTTTATTTCCTGTTGACAAACCGGAGTGCTGTACGTCAACTGGCGACGTCGCAGCCGCAACCGACGCCGATGCCGACGCCGACGCCGAGGCTGACGCCGACGTCGCAGTCATTCTGAGAATTTATATCGAATGCATGTGACTCATTCAAGCAGTTATGCGAAGCTTTGTAAATGACGATCCATGTAGAAACGCTTTCAAGACTCTCGGGCTTCGTTGGTCAATAATGCGAGAAATCGCGTAGATTACGGATAGATAAAGTTCGAATAAAGAAAGATTGTGATCTTAAAGTATAAGTTTTTCAGACTCTAAATTTCTTTCTTGCATGTTGAAAAATTATATATATTTTTCTTTATCAATTTCTTTCCTAATGTGAAGCTCGCTAACGAAAAGAAATTCTTATAAGTCTTAATTGAAAGGGATGGGAATAGAAAGATTAATTAAAACGAGACGAGAATGAATGGTAACGTCCTAGATAGAAAGGCGCTTTCAGGACGGTCGAGCTACGAACGCGAGAAATAATGACTCACAGGTACACACAAGCCCGATGCAAAATTCTTTCAGTGAATTCTATTTTTAACGAGACAAACATATTTTTGTATCACGCGGAAATTTCTTGCGTGTTCCGCGGAATCATCCGCAAGTATCGCAAACGCGTATCTTTTTCGTGAATTAATTTACAGGCATTGTTTCGCGGATTGATGTAACCGCGTTTACGGATATTTCGGAATATCTCGGCGAGCTTAGGGCGCGATATCAGGATATTAATACACGCGACCACTTTCAAGTGCATCTCAAGTTCTGAGCGTTACGGCGCACCAGAATCCGGCAGAAATGTCAGTCGTGCCGAGCGTCGAACTGCTTTGCATGCCACAGGCGTCGCCGCGCCAACCGCGACCGGTGTGCCCTCGTATTCCACCGCGTTACGTACCTGAGCATTCTGGGAAGGACAATCGGGTTTAATGAAGTTGAAATTGAAAATACAACGGAACGCGCACGTGGTGTGAGCAGCATAAGGTTAATCAACGATGCTTTGTGCTTGGGAATAACGGTCACTTTGCGCGTTGCGTGACAGCGTGACTGACTTCCTTCGCAGTATTGCGGTTTGCGGCTACGGATTATGTCTTATTGAATTAGCCAAAAAGTCAAACTCTACACTTTTACGACTTTTTTTTACTTCAACAATGTCGAATATACATGGGAGATATGCGGCTGTTAACACCAAGTAATTAATTACTGCGAAAGCAGTTAAATTTTTAATCCTAATTAAGTAAGCTTCATTATATCGTCACGACATTAGAACAGTACCATTACAGTAATATTTTCCATTATCCAAAAAGGCATGGTACATCGCAAGGGGAAATAGCATTTAATAAAATATGTTCATAATAATGAAATAACTCTAGAGAGGATCGCACGTGTAATATAGAATTAAAATTCGTTATATGAATCTCTCGTTTATCTTTTATCTTGCAATTTTCATCACGTGGAAAGGCGAACTTAATAGAATATCTTATCAAGTATTAATAATCAAGTAGAAATATGATATACTTTCTAACGACAGACGCGCGATTTATCGATTGCAAGGCTGCAGTTTTCGCTAGGTCGTTTGCGATTAAAGATATCCAAACGGATTAATTATTACACGCTGTCGCGTTTCTCTTTCACGTCGATTGTCTGGCTCTTCCATAGTAACGATCGCAGTATAGCGCATGATAGGGTTAATTAATATTACAAAGGCGCGTTTGGAATGCGATCATTTTGAATGTTGCGTGACTAGGCTCTCTTATAGTCGATGCTTCAGAGATACGACACGGTATTACGTTACATCAAAATGCTACTCGACGTGAGTTTTGATTTCATGCTACTCAAGAAATTCCTTGAGAATCATACATTATTAACACCTCTTAATAGTTAACGTCTATTTAGGCAAATTGATTTTTAATATTGTCACGATATCCTCTACGTATTGTGTCATATTCAATTTTACGCAAACATGATCGCCGACACTGTATAATATATCTCTAATTTTATGTTGAATAATTTTATAACAGTACTATTTCTCATTTTCTCGATCAGTAACAAGAGTGCCAGGTGCGGCTGAATAGTCCCCGCCGAATAATTTGGATAAAAAGTTTATGACTACCGAGAGAAACGTTGCTCAGGAACATGATTTCAAGAGACACGAGCAGCATTTTAATCGTGATTAATACTATTTCCCGTGCTTCATCCGCAACTAACGGAGAAGCATTGTTCGCTGTCATGTAAGCGAGATTGATCACTAGTATTTTTTTACCTACATAACGCGAAACTGCATGCACAGGTGACCATAAATTGGCATTTTATCAAAAAAGATATCTGAACTTTTAAGTTTTAAGATATTATCTTATTGTACTACTAGTTTTCATTTTTTATGCCTTTGTAATGAAAACAAATAAAAATAATTTCTATTATATAACTCCTATCGTTATACTTCTTTCTTTTAGTTTTATAATTTACATTCGCGAATTAATTTAGCGAAAAAAATGTTAAAAAACAAGATAATATAGTAAAGTTTAACAAGGCTTGTTCCAAAAAAATCTGAATGCAGCAATCCGCTTTATTTCGTTGAGTGTATCGTGTCTTTCTCATTATCATTCGCGCATATATATTTCGACACGTATAATACCGGATATACAGACAGCCACTTTCAAATATGCGTGGATATAACTAGAAGAGCACTTTGCGAGAATAAATTACGTTCTCGTTATTACAAATGTAATCGGAGTTTCACGTTATCATTAATGCGATACACTTATAGTGTATCGTTCCTCCGTTTAGTTTTTCCGAGCACGCAACTGCAATTCTATCTCCAACTGAAATAACAATATCTTTCCTTCGATTTTTACCGGGGTTTCTCGCCTATAAAGGGATTGCGAGGAAAATCCACGGTAGTGAAACCCTCGCGATAACCCCGTGAACATTGCGAGAATCGTCTTTGAATGACTCGATTTTAAAGAGAATTTCCAGACCAAAAACGAGCGATGAAGAAATACAAAAGTAGTAACATAAACGGGGACCACCTAGGCGTAAGACATCTTTTTATGTGGTCCATCGTGGCAAGTTTATCGGCTGTAGATTAGAAATAGAATTCGCCGACTTCGCATCAACGACAGGGCTATTGTGGCCCTTTGCCAAGGATGTCACTTAGATGCAAGAGCTGCTTCATAGACGGCACTCTTTCGACATACTGACCGCTCGAGTCCTTGTCTCTTTGAATCGCTAACTTAATCAGGAACGACTTATGCATTATATATATCTTTCATCGCATTAAATTTTTAGTAATGGATTCTTTAGATAACTTAAAGTTGATTGTTCTTTTATGTAATTAGCGATTAAAGAAGATTCTAACAAATTAAGAGCAATTTAGAGCAACTATAACAAATATAATAAAATAATTTTATTTATTTTTTACTTAAATTCAAGCTCTAATTCAAGTTCAAATTTAAAAAATTTGAATTAACTAGAAAGATATTGTTAGTTCTGATAAAGTACAATTAAAACTATGAAAATAAGTATTTCTAAAGCTACAATCGTAAAGTTTAAAAAATCGAACAAAAGGTCGATGGATGCTTTCAATTGTTTGCCATTCATTTTTCTTACACGACATTACTCATCGTTGTGTCAAATTGTTTTGTTCAACGAGGGACATCGACGAAGAATGCAGTTCGCATACGGTGCCAAGAACGCATTTTGCGTTATATGCTCGTGGTACAGAAGAAAATAGAAGTTCTGCGAAAGAACGACAACTTTAAGATCCGCGAGATGTAACTCAGGCATTGGAATATTTTGGGCGTTTACGTCATTAGGCAAGAAATATAAAATTATCGTGAAGCCTAACGAAGGGAATAGGTATCAATGCTGTGTATGTTTATGCTTGCGTTTCTGCCCAGTAAAATTGTAACGATTTCGTTGTAAACAACGGTGGTGCGTCAATCACCGTATTTTAACGCCGAAAATTGGCGCCTTTATCGTCAATATTTCACAGGCATGTGCATGAAATCGATTCAAGATTTGTATCGAATGTGTGATTTCGTT